CGACACTCTCACCATCACAATTACAACATGAAACATATTGTGCAATTCCTTGCCTGTATTCTGCTCAAATATATTCATACATATTTATTCTTACCCAGCTTTAGTGTTCATTAGGCCTACAGCAGAGGTTTTGGAAATGTTTTGTTTTTGTTTCTGAATTGTGAAGCATTGTATGCTGCTTTCTGTGCACAAACAGTGCTATATAAATTAAAATAATTAATTATATCCGTAGAGCCATGCCACCAGGACTTGCGCTTATATAGGATAAAGATTTTTCCTGACCGTGCTTACAAGACTTTGAAACTCGACACTCGACAGTATAATTAAAGAGTATCCTGTTTTTGGTTGTTTTTTTAAACAATAAGAATGAAATTATTTATACAGCTGTTAAACTGGTATATATTTTTTGTTAAATGTGCCAGTCAGTGACTTATCTCTGGTCACTGGCCCTAAGGTGCATATACACATGTTCCAATATTTCCATAATAAACAGTGATGTCATTTGAAAAATACAGTAGGCCTAAGATCTGCAGGTTTAAAAGCACTGATAAACTCTAATCCAACATCTAATGTAAAGGTCACAGAGATAGTCAAAGTGAGACTGTTGCTTTTAGTTAAACTAAGTCAGACTTGCAGTAGTTCTGAGAAACCCATGATGCTCACATGTGACTAAAAAGTGCCAAAAGAAATAAAATCTACAAACAGATGGCAGTTTTCTTTACCAGTTTTCTATCTCCTGCCCACATAGATTGTTATATAATGTGATGTTTACTCATTTATACACAAACACAAATATGTGATGGGAAGGGCAAGATTCAAGGCTTTATTTGCATGTGCACATTAGCTACAGTGTAGATATGGCAATGAAAAACTTAAGTCACAGGCTCCTCCAACAGTGCAACATGAATATATATATATATATATATATATATATATATATATATATATATATATATATATATATATATATATCAGTGGTGAACCCTCAGGGCCTTCAAGGTATTCAGAGAATACCCTGGAACACTCAGATAAAACAAACAAAAAAATCGATTTAATTATATAAATAAAATGTATATAAAATGAATAAATGACAATCGTATCTGTGATGTTGATCTGTAATATTACAGTGTTACGTTGATTTGTTTGTCCTTCTCGGACCATGCACTACGCATTTCAGTGGTTTTGTGTTATAAAAGAAAGCAACCAATCCAACAAGTCCTCCAACTCATACGACCAAATGGGTCGATTGTTTAAGCCCTTATTACGACCAAATAGTCGTTTGTTCAAGCGCTTAATACGACCTATAATTACGTTTTAAAATTGTCGGCCTCTAGTGCTCCCGTTGAATGCAAACGTTACAGAGGCTTGTTTATTCACAAATAACCCTCTCTGTAAAATCCTAAATTGTAGGATAGTTTGGCCATTAAAACGCTTTATGATTAGATTTCTAGCGAGAAGTATATATTGTACTTTTAGAATCCACGTCCAGTCGATATGTAGGATCTATAGTTTGATAGATATTACGAAGATGATTTGAGGTTTCGTCAGGAGAACGTGTATATGCGGCAAGCTTCCATGTAAAGTTACGGGTTGAAAACAGTATTTCCGGTATCGACGTTTTCATAATAAAACCAATGATCAAATGATTTAACAGTGATATCTGCAGTACCCATCCACTAAAAAACATCAGTTTATCCTAGTTAATTATACGACATTAATTGGTTTAAATTGTGTACAATGCTTTTGTGTTTTTCCCATTGGTTTTTCTCTTTCGATTCTGAGAGACACATTTATTTTTTCAGGGGTTTTGATAGGCTAAAATCACGCCGCAATGCACGTCGGGATATGGTGTTTATGTGATATGAAATCGGAAAACATTTTTTTTTCTTTATTCCGAGTGTTCTTGCTTTTCTCTTTGAAAGTCATCGCATAACGGCATTGTAATACACGGTTCGGCTGCATTAAATATTACATATCTGCCCTAGATATGAATTTATAGAGCCCTGATCAGAAGACCTTTTGACAAACTGGAAGAGATGCCGCCAAAACTGAATACGCGTGACGTGGACCATAAATATATCAACAATTAAACAACATATTCCATTTATTTTCACACAATACGTCTCCTTGCAGTATCAACACTAATTCGGCTGACTTTTATATTTGATCCAATTAGTAGATAGTCTGTATTTACACCATAACGGTGCACAGCTGATAGAAAGGGACTTTTTTGTAGTTTTTAAAGATATTACTGATTTTCTGAACTACCTTTCCAACTCCTCATGCAGTTGACTGTTACAGGTCTATAGTTCATGGTACAATGCATAAGCTTCACATCGAGAGACTGAAACTGTATTTTCCTTTAACGTTCTGTTTTAATTTCACAATAAAGTGAATAGTTATATTATGTTTGACCACTGGTCTGAACCGCACCTCCTAGTGGTTAAAGCACGTTATTGAATTTAGTTGTTGAATAAGTTATATTTGATGAAAACATTTAAATATTAAGAGTAGCCTACATACAAAATAGGGGTCAATGATAGAAATATAGAATAGAAAATATCAAGAAGATACTGTAGTGATCTCTACAATAAAACAGTTTAGTGCAGGACGTCCAAAGATATTAACAGGAGGATGTGCAAAACAGACAAACTGATAAGGCTGAATTTTACTCAGGTGTAACTAAAGTCTGATTTAAGGGTTGTTTATATTTCACATCATTAATCAGAATCTGAAAAGTAACAAAAATAAATGTAGTAGAGTAAAAATACCAGGTTAACCTCTGAATTGTAGTGGAGTAGAACAAAGTAGTACATGCTGCTGTAACAAAAACATTTCCCAACTTGGGATCAATAAAGTATCTTATCTTAAGATGATCGATGGCTACTGCCATATTTGCTAAATGTGCATCTGAACCTTGACAAGTGCATGTTTCAGGCTTATCAATTACAACAGGAGGGGTTACAGACATAAGACCAGCTGTTAAATAAAGCTCTTCTGACCTTAGCTGTCATGTGGGTATATTAATGCTGCCCATTATGGACACAAGCAATTTCCCCCCATGTATTAATTATACGTTTTAAATTTGATAACACCAATGTGTTTTGTATCCCCTAAACCTCCAGGGATGTATACAGTTTAATACTGGCAACTTCTAATTGTGGGAAATACGAAAACGTCTTTTAAAACTACAATTCCCAGTAGAGACGTGCCATAGAACATGTTGCGAAACACACAATAGCCAGCATGTGTAATTCTGGGGGCTGTCCAAGTCCAGTTTTGGATAGTCTGGCGTGGTTCCATTCCATTTCAAAGAGCTGTTTGACACTCGGTGTAACCTTGTCGCACTGTCACTCCAACATCCAATCACAGAGCTTGAGGGCTAATCACGGGGTTTGTAAAGCAAGGCGGATGTTGTAGTCCCAAACGATAGCTGGGGATTCTGGGTAGTGTAGTGTCTTCGGAAACTCTGTAGTGTCTAAACTCCAAAACAAAATTTGTTTCTCCGAATCGAAGGTTAAAAACACAAAAGCATTGTACACAATTTAAACCAATCAATATTGTGTAATTAACAAGGATAAACTGATGTTTTTTAGTGGATGAGTAATGGAGATATCACTGTGTAATAATTTGACAGTGTGGGGAATACTTCCGGTTTTATTATGAAAACTTCGAGACCGGAAATACTGTTTTCACCCACGCTAACTTTACATGGAAGCATACAGTACACGTTCTCCTGGCGAGACCTCAAATCATCTTCGTATATCTATCAAACTGTAGATCCTACACATCCACTGGACGTAGATTATAAAAGTACAATATACACTTCTCGCTAGAAATCTAATAAAAAAGCATTTTAATGGCCAAACTATTCCACAATTTAGGATTTTCCAGAGAGGGTTATTTGTTAATAAACGACCCTCCGGAGCGTTTGCAATCGACAGGAGCATGTTGTTTCTTACACGACCCTAGAGGTGCTACACTTTAAAACGTGACTCTGGGTCGTATTTAGCTGCTGAACAATCGACCTTTATGGTCGTTTTTTGTAGGAGGACAGGCTGAACCAATCATATCTTGTTCTCTGAGTAGAATATCCTTCAACCAATGTATTCTACATCCTTGATAGAATCAGCGCCATATAGGCTCTATCTATATGGCGCTGGATAGAATGCCCTGGCCGTTGCACTGAATGAGAGCGTACGTTTGGACTGACAGTTTGATCAACCAATCATATATTGATTTGTAGCCAATGGGCGTATTCTTTCAGAGTTTCCCTCGGTTCCAGGGTATTATAGAAGGCCCGCTAGTTAACTGGCTCGAGACAGAGGATCTAGATGAATGCGACGAAGCAATTCATGCCGTTTTATTGGTTTTGACGTTGAAATGACAAGTGCAACAGGTGAAGATGAAGTTGTTGAGGAATTGTTGTGAGTACCCTTTTCAAGACGACAATTCAGTGAAAAGACGGACATTATAATGCCGCGGAGGGGGGAGCCGGCGGCGGTGGTGGGGGATGTGTGTGTCTACAGAAGGTCCAGTTGTGATAGACACGGTTCGCCACTGAATATATATATATATAGGACATAAAACAAATAAAACAAATAAAATAGTGCAAGAGAATGTTGCATTTGTTATTTATCTGTAACTCTCATTTGAAAAGACAATGCCCTTTATTTCTAATGTTGCCAAACGTGAAGCAGTGATATCACACTCTGAAACGAGGCTGTTCCTCATGTGTTGGGGGACCTCCCGGACCCGGAGATTCCCCCGGGGGTCCCATCCCGTCCCTGAACCCCACCTTGGCTACCACACACACACACACACACACACACACACACACACACACACACACACACACACACACACACACACACACACACACACACACACACACACACACACACACACACACACACACACACACACACACACACACACACACACACACACACACACACACACACACACACACACACATGCGCAGGGAGGGGCTGCGCGAGCGTGGTGTGCAGCTTTGTGCGCATGTTCTGCTGTTAGGATGGTGTCGCTGTGCAGCTCCTCATCATTGCATGGTTCATGTCCAGCTGGAAGAGGCTCTGTACAATAACAGCCATCAGAAATCGGGAATATCGACAAATCAGGAGACATCATGAGCAAAGTACAGGGAGGGATGAAATGCGTGAAATATCTGCTGTTCATCTTCAACTTCATCTTCTGGGTAAGTCCGACTCACTTCGCGTGAAAACAACGTTATCGCTATTTTAAAATCACCCGAATGTTTTGCACATTGTGGCCATTTTTATTCTATTTCTCTTCGATTTATATTTGATTTATTACAAACAATTATTAAGCTTTGTTTGCATGTGGAAAACCGGTTAGTGCTGTGGCTCAGAGTCGTGTTTACATGTTCAACGCTGCAGGATATGTCTGTGTATTGCTTTTGTTAGATATATTTTTTTAATTAACTTGGTTTCGTTTTACCCTGGGGGAGTTCATCTACCTGCTCTGTGCAAACTCCTCTCTGACTGGCTCCCTAAATACTCAAATCATTGCTTTATTGCCATCCATCATCTTCTTATCTAAATCCATCATACATAATCCATCACACCTCTTAAAGTGCTCTCTATCTATTACAATGTAAAATAATTCATGGTTAAATCTGTACAAACCCTTTTAATACCCATGCTTTATGTTGTATGTATTGTACTGTAACACACACACACACACACACACACACACACACACACACACACACACACACACACACACACACACACACACACACACACACACACACACACACACACACACACACACACACACACATACACACACACACACACACACATACACACACACACACACACACACACACACACACACCACACACACCACACACACACACACACACACACACACACACACACACACACACACACACACACACACACACACACAGTGGCTTGGTGCTGGGAGTTTCTAACAGACAGGGTTAATCTGTTTTGGGAACATCATGGAGGTTTATGTCTGTTATGAAACATTATGATCAGATAAGGTTACCTGTGGCTCCGGCTGCTGTGGAGTCACTTTTGAATTCTCTTCTGACATTGTGTCGGTTCTTCTTTTGAACTGTGTAGCTGATGGGAATATAGGCTTGGTAAACTTTAGCTTGAAACCCTCACACAGTTAAAGCTACTGTTCGTTGTGTAGCTATGAAACCTGTTCCACTAAATAGTGAAACACTGAAAGAAAAGATTATTACTTTGTTGTCTGTTGTATTTCTTAATAAGTAGACAGCCACTGAATTGTCCATCCCGTCAAACCCAGGTTGCAAACCAATAGAGTGGAGCTGCAATCATTAGTGCACACATTGAAGTGAATTAAATTAGTATGACAGAAAATGCAGTTTTTAGCCGGTCAAATATTGAAATGTATTCATTTTCTCTGTTTTATATTACATTTAACTGAATCATTTTAGCTTTGGACTGATATAAAAACGATTACATTTGTACAAATCACCTTGGATTTCAAGAAAATGCGATGGACATGTTTTCTAGACCACACGATTCATCTAGAAAATATTTGTTATTTGCAGTCTCAACATCAATGCCGCATTATTTGTATGATCCCACCTCAGATTGCATGATCTGCCTACATGTGTTATGTTCAAAGAATCCTTTGTGTCAATTCAGCACGAGATTAGTTGGCAATGGGTTGAAATATGTCGATTAGAATAGAGATAACCGATAAATGAATCGGCTGCAACTAACAATTGTTTTGTTATTCTTTTGGTCAAGAAAATGTCTGAAGCAAATGACATCACAGTTTGAATGCTAAAGGTGATTTAGTTTAAATTGTTAGTTTTGCATGAACAATGTGTCCAAAACTCAAAGATGAAATGTACTATCACATAAAACAAATAAAAGCAGCACTGTGATGCAATGTTTGGAATTTGTTCTAGAAAATGACTTAGTTAATATGCGTGACAGACTCAGTGGTTGTAGATAGATGCTTGAGTTTGACTGCTAAACGATACAGTGTATAGGATATTGGCGGTTGCATTGGCAAATCTCTGTAAGACAATCTCTTGTGTCACGGACACACAGCGGCCTCTTTGTCTCGCCGTTTGGGGACTGAGAGCAGGGCCGTTGTGGTCCGGGCCAAAAGAGGCGTACAGTACTACGCTGTCATTTTGGGGTGCAAAACCAAACAAGCAGCCAATGCTAGTGTGAGTTACATCACCAGGCCCTGTGAGGCTGGCACAGCCGGCGGCTGCAATGCACCATGGGAGGTGGACCATTGATACTATGATGTTAAGATCTGATATTATGATTGTCCCTCTGCTGTCTTCCTTCTCCGATCATTTTGACTCTTGCCTAGTTCATGTGTTTTCCTCCTAGAATGTTATTTTTAGGAATCAGGGTTACAAGTAAAATGGTTGCGATGATCACATTTACATGTATTATCAGATATCTGATCTGTAAAATGAAGATCAAGAAACATTAAGGGTTGTTATTTATTAAAAGTATGTGTTCAGGAGTTGTGTAAAATGTTGTAAAACTCAACTGGTTTGCTCTAAATAAAAACTTATAATAGGAAATAATCACTAATACACCCCATCTGCTGCTATATTGCTCTCATGTTATTCATATGATTCAAGAAATGTATTCACAAAAGTATATTTAGTATTAAAACCCTTCATCAATGTTAAACATGGGCAGTTTACACCTAAATGTTCTTTGTGTCTAAGGTCAGAAGGATTCACTTTCTGAGGGTGAGACCTGCTTCAATCGATGGTTTATTTCTGGTCAAACTCACCCAGGGAGCAGTGATGACGTCTCAGTGTCGAGAAAAACATCACACCTGATGTCCTATCTTCATTTGTACTACATGCCATTAAGCAGAGGAAACGTTTTCCCTGGTGTTACAGCCTATGATCTGTTTGAGAGTCCAAACAGGTCTTACACTTGTAGTCTCTAAGAGCTGATGCATTAACATTTTTGGCAGCAGTTTGTTCGGGATAAACAGGAGAAAAAAGGGACAGTGGGCACCAGTAGCCACTTAACTGAGGAGACAAAGATGAGAGCAGCACATTCAGAATATTAATCAACAGAAGAGCCAAAGATAAAAACTAGAGGGGCCTCAACATTTAACTGTGAAGGGATTTCTCGGAAACATCAAACCAGAGACATCATTTAAATCCTCCAGAGACCACATTTCAAACAGTGTTCTTTAACACCCTGCCACAGTGAGTAATTGTGACCTGACTGTGGCTCCTCAGCTGTCGGGCCTGCTGGTGCTGGCGGTGGGACTCTGGCTCAGGTTTGACCCCAACACAGTGGAGCTGCTGACGGGGGACGGAGCCCCTGACACCTTCTTCATAGGTACGTCCTCCAAACACACCCTACATCTACTGCAACATGGGGCAAGATAACAGAATAACATGTTTAAGTTGTTTATTTATTTTAGTGTATTAAACTGTTTTTATTTTTTCTTGATTTTAAGTGAAGTAATTTCATAGTTCAAGTTCTTATGTCAACAATGCAACAATGCAAGTTTGGCCTGCAGCTACTGAAGCTAAGTAATGTTATGAGGAATTGGAAATCTATTCTTCAAAATAAATCTTCAAATTCGAGCTACATTGTGGTTAATAAAATCCACAATGTAGCTCGAATTTAGAGATTTATTTTGAAAAATGTCAACGCTATGTTGCTGATTCATTTCCTTTTCAAGCTATTGAACATAGTTTGACTTCTCAATATAAAAAGTATCAAATGTAAGATGCTCAAAGATGCTCAAAGATAGCATTTCTTAGATATTAAGACACATTTTCAGGCATAAAATAAACACTATTCAGGTGAACAAGAACAAGCTTCAGAGAACAAAGGGCAGAGCCAGATTTCACGCTTGAAGACATAAGGTTTTATGGTGCGCTGTAAAAATCCTTTCACAAACATCCCTCTGGGATTCTCCTCCACCATTTTAACTGGAGAGCCTTTCAGGGGCCGCAGGTGTTGTTGAGCGGTAATGAGCGCTTAACAGACCTTTAATGCATGGTGATGTTTCAACACTTCCTCCCCACGACCCAACTCACTGTTCTGAGTGGTTTAGGCCCAGATCATCGGATGTGCCACACCGCTCTGCAAAGTGTGTACTCACTAACATATTACAGTGCTGAGAGGAAGTGAGCACATGTCAAACCGTTATTGACATGCACCATTAGCAGTAGTGCTCTGTTTTATAGGTTATGGAGAGAATTGCTCATGTTTTACAAATAATAATTCGATTTTTCCTCCCACTGGGGGAATACAAAATGATCAATCAGAGATGCTCAGGCAGCGACAAATGGACCTGAGCCTCAAACTGATTCATGAACAGCACTTTGCACTCAGGTTACTTTTGATTGAGCTAAAAAATAAACACTAAAACATTCAAACATAAAGGGTGGACAAACACCCTTCAGTGTGTGGTAGTGCACACAATGGGCTTCTCTCTTTCTCTGTCGCTCTGCGTAGGAGCGGACGATTAGAATGTAGCCTATTCTTGTAACTCCCGTTTGGATCATGCCCTAAAATGGTGACTTCACTTCCTCAGCGCTCTGCTCTCATGGGGCTGCCTCCCTCAGGAGAGGAGGAGCAGGTTGGGTGGGGCAGGATCATGATACTGCACCATTCAGGGCAACTTTGTGAGGAATAAAACACAAACAAAGTTTCTTGTTGAATGTAAAAGGGAAAAAGTGAAGTCCAATACAGCCTTAAAAATATGACTGTAAATATGTAACACCCAATATAAACTGGACAAAGATGCAGTCATGCAAGATATTATTTGAGAGATACTCACTTGAGTTCTCACAGTTGTTCATCAGTTTATGCAAACTACTGCGGCGAGATCATTTTCGTTCAGTTTGGTTTAATTTGACATGCAAATATCACAGAGCGTGCACACTTTTTTAATCGGTGCGTTGCCCATAATCGGTGCTTCACATTTCAACAGGAAATACTTACATTTTCACTCAACTAAAGTTACAGGCATCTGCTCGCTCATCACTACATCAATAATATTAATCCAGTACAGTATAATAAACACTAAAAGTGGGGCAAACTGCATTTATATAATATATTAAATAAAGGAATACCTTCCTTTCTGTGTTGAACTGCCCTTGTTCTAATGTTAGACAGCAGAGATATCTATTTATCTACATTTCCAATTAATCCTGCATAGGGCGTCTAACAGAGGAGCCTTAGCAACAACATAAATATGACCATGAGCAGAATGCTGCCTTCATGCACCTCCAGCACTGAGACTGAACAGAGGGACCTAACGAGGGAAAGTGGAAGCATTCCCTGTGGCTGAATCATTTTCCATGCTGTCACCTTGTTGCTCCCTGCGCCTGCATGTAAACAGCCATTATGTGCATTTATCAGAAAGAGACTGAGATGTTTACACTAATATGTATCGCAACATGCTACCAGCCTTAACAAGGAGGGCCACTTTCTGCTGGTTTCTCTACAAGTGTTTAAGGCAGCAGCTCTGTGTACACTCTGTATATACAGTAGAAGCTTGGCCCATTATAACCCTCCACTTTGAAGCAGCCTATCCCTCGTTTCCTGCCCCCTTCAGCTATCTACCTCATCTTCACCTCCCCTTTTGTTCAACCACAGGAAAACAACAGCTTGCAATCCCCCCCCCATGTGGATTAATTAAATTGCTGCAATGGTTGCCGTCTATGTCACGGAGAAGACCCTTAGCGTGGACCCCGGGGACAGAGTCGGTGTATAGTTACAGTGTGAGGGCTACGTAGTGAGGGCTGGGAGCTGAGGAGCAGACTGGGGGGGTGATGACATCCAGGCTCGAGGGGAGCAGGGACGCCTGGGGGATGTAGTTTAAAAATTAGATTTTCGACCAGACAGATGGCATCTGTGTGCTGCTGTACCCCACAATGTCTGAATCATTGGAAATAACAGCATCAAAGGTCTAAAACCAGAAGCCTTGTTTCTCAGTAGACTCTATCAGCTTGAATGCTAACTCTAATGGTGATAATGCAGAGAGTGTAGCTGCACCTCTGAGACAGAGATGGAGGATTTCAGCTATTTGCAGCTCGCCTGAAGCAGCACAGAGTCCAGTGTCTTGCTCAACACACTCAAAGGGATGGCAGATGGTATTTATTTTCAAACTGAGCTTTCAGTTATTGGACTGTCTCAACCAGCTCTTATCTTCAAACCAAAATTATTTTTATTTTTTAGTTCATTTTTAGAAACAATGACACCAACTCTAATCTGACAGATTAAATGCACTCATCTCTCACTTACGATTCCCCCAGAGGAGGAAACATTACAAAGAAATACTATTTTAGTTCTGGTCGTGTCAGAGATTCCTTTTGCATCTCGATTCAAAGCTTTAATATTCACAAGCTGGACTGAAGGAGTGGGCTCGTAATCACACTGAACTGTGGGAGGTGGTTCAGCGCTTTCGGGCTTCTCAAAGAATTTCCACCTACACTTTTCTGCTGCAAGTCAAACAGTCCTTTTATAACTCAAGTTACAGCAAAGACTTGCTTAATGCTGCCAACTGCAGTTTAAACTGTGAATTGCAGTCATGCTACAGACACTGGGATAAGATTGTATTCATTGAGAACATATATTCCTCTATCCTGAACATTACTGGATTAAAAAATTGTTTTTTAAAATAATTTCTTTAATTGTTATTTGTATTATATATATATATTTACTTTATTTTTACTATATTTTTTATTATTGTTTATGTTATTAAAGTTTTCTTTAAATAGTTCTCTTTGTTTTTTATTTTTGTTTTACTTTTATGTATGCACCACGACACCAAGTCAAATTCCTCGTACGTGTCAACCTACCTGGTAATAAACCTGATTCTGATTGTGATTCTAGTGGATTGTTACTCCTAATTTATTTCTACAGATAAAAACGATTTAAAGTACTACTTTTTCTCTCCTCAGCCGTGTACATCCTTCTTGGTGCAGGAGGCCTGATGATGATCGTCGGGTTCTTCGGTTGTTTTGGGGCTGTACGCGAGTCGCAGTGTCTTCTTGCATCGGTGAGTTTGGGTGCTTTAAAGTGTTCCTATTCTTGTACTTTAAACATGTAATCAATGTGAATCAATCCCTCAAATGTTTTACTTCTACAGGTTTAATAACTAAATGTCCTGGTTATTTATATGCAGTTCCCTGGAAAGATCTATGTGTAATTTGATTCCAATTATAGATGAAATAGGCTTTAATTGGCACGATAATTGGTGTTAATTAATCCTAATTATTTTTGCGAGGGTAAGCAAGAGTTTTTAAATTAATGCACATTAGGTGCAAACAATAGAAAATGTGTCTGCTATTAATATTTTTATTTTCTTAAAAGCATCTAGGAAATCACAGGGAAACGATTGATCTATAAAATGATCAAATGAAGGGATACAGACTCTCCTTGTATAAAGATACCTCTAGTACAGGACATTAATGAGCCTTTCTCCTGCTCTACAGTTCTTCGCTTGCCTTCTGATAATCTTCGCAGCAGAGATTGCCGCTGGTGTGTTTGGATTCATAAACAAGAAACAGGTACAACATTGAAATGAAACATTATAAATCAGATTGTAATGTATTTTTCACATGTAATAACTGATATTTTCTTTAGATTGTTGAGGAAGTCCAAAAGTTTTACAGCAGCTCCATTGCTGACGTCTCCAATCCGAATGACACAGCAATCGCAGTCATTTACCACCAAACTGTGAGTAAGACCTCTCCTCTTCATATGGCTGAGTCACAGTGAACCAGCATCACCATTTGATCTTTCATCTTTTCATTCACAGCTGAACTGTTGTGGAGGCTCCACATCAGACACGTCCACCACACTGTGTGCAGAGGCCGAGGAGAACACCCAGGTGACCCCGCTGCCTGCTATGACACTTTAGACCCACAGGGGGGCACAGTAGCACTGATTTAAGATCAAACCATAATCGGACCATCAGCGGGATCACAGATGTACATTTATCCACAGCGGGGTTGTGTGCAGTAACTGTTATTAACAACATATATGGTTTTTCTATTTTTTAGGATTGTCTCACTGCAATATCAGACTTCTTCGATGAAAAGCTGCACACTATTGGCTACATAGGGATTGGGATAGCAGGAGTAATGGTGAGACTTACAAATCATTGAATTCAAACTTCATCAATCATGATCCCAGTTTACAATCACTTCTATAAATGTTCCCTCAACGACGATTTGATGGCTATACTGTATTGTCCAACTTTACACAAAGCTCATTGTCTCATTGTTTTAACATGTCCAACAATGTGTCTGATTCCAGGTCATAGGGATGATCTTCAGCATGGTCCTGTGTTGTGCCATCAGGAACAACAGGGAGGTTATTTAGAAGTGGAGTCCCACCCAACCAGCGAGCCCACTACACCCTCAATGACCCCTTTATCATTAAGACAACTGAATAAAGATGGAAAACCCCAAAGTTACATTTTATGTCATTTCTCTAGTCCATAAGAATCTGGTGGGGGAGTTCAGGGAATATCACAAAGAGAGAATTCAATACATCCCAGTTGTCCACGGGCCAAAATGCAACACGATACGCTGGATCCTAATCTGCACACCTCAACTCCACCAGCACTGAGTGAAAATGATTTTTTCCCCTGTACTGTAAACCAAGCTCTGCTTTTGGCACGACTCTGAGACATAACTCAGTTTTAACATCTTTTTGTTACACGACGCACTACACAAAGCCTTTTTAGACACAGGAATGTTGTGACTGCTGTAAATATGGACAGCTATTTTATGCAATTGTTGTTAACATTATTTATTGTGCCCTTTTTATGTAGCCAATACTACTCCGTGTGCTTATATGTTTTGAGGACTAGCCTACCTTTGCTGAGTAAAGTTCCACCACGTGCCTATCTTGTCACTACATTTGCCTATTTATTGTGATTTGAATATCTACATGAGTTCCCTGCCACCACTCTCAAGTATTTCTACTTTAAAGCACAAAAGAGGAAGTGAAAATGTGATATTAAAAGGGTTAGGGAAGGTCTGATGATGAACTGCCTTTCTGTGAATCCCCAAACGTATCCAAAAGGTCCCGAGTAACACAGAGTCGTGAGCTCCTCTCGAGCACGTGTGAACTGTAACAGTGAGATAGTTTGCATTTTGTGTGAATTATTTTGGATGTACATTTTGTTGGTGTGCCAATAAGATGTGAATTATAGAATAATATAGTTTATGCCATATTGTTAACCGTAATAAATAGAAATAAATATTGGGTGCTTTTAAAAAAGTGTTTGGTTGTTTTCCTGCCTTTGAAGTCTCTAATGCAAGTTTTGTCTCATGGCAGCACGATGCTAAACCAGTTCAATAATGCTGGGAACAAACAGACCACACTCAACAATAGGGCCTCTTGAGACACATTACATTAGTGAGACAGAATATAATATTCAAGAGGCCTTTATACTTACTAAAATGCATTTGTTAGGCTGCCACCTATATTTATGATATTTCTTTAAAAGATAACGGAGTCCCTTTCCCACGCCACCTTATCCCTCCTGTCCGTCTAGCCATTTCACAATAAGCATGCATGATACTTGTTAGCAATCAGCTGAGTTTATCTATTCACACACATTTTAGCATAACAATGTATAATCCACCCTTAAAATGTCATCTTTTTAAACTAAATTGACATTGAGTCCTCTCCTGATCAATTTCCGCTTTATCAAGGTGTGCGTATGTACAATCCTATTTTACATGAAGGACATACCCAGATTAGCAGCTCTTTCAATAGCCTCTAGTCTAGTGTTTCTCCTTTAGCATCGTTAGGTATTATGACGATTGAAGCCATTTGTCACTACGGATTCAATGTTTTTGTTCTTGCCTTTGTTCGAGGGGCTGCGCTGGCATTATCTCAGTTTAAACCAGCTGTCTTTTGGACCTTTCAAAGTTTTTGTAACAAAGCAGGAATCATTTATGTCCGTGTGGTGTAATAAATCAATGAACACAGAATGAGTGTATTTACATTTTTAATGTTAATATATGGTATGTACAAACAACACAAATACATGCTGAGTCACAGTAATATTGTTTTTATTTGGCATGTTTTCTATTCAGACAGAAAGGTCTTTCTGCTTTGTTTAAGGCATAAACCAATAAAAACATTTTAAGTCAAAGTATCCATATGAAAATGTCTTAACTGAATTGATGTGGACAGATACATATATAATATGCATGAATGCATCTCAAGTTATTGCAGGTAATACTACTAAAACAACTCCAGGGTAACATCAAGTATTTAACAGGACATGTTATGGATTGGAAAGCCATATGGTCCCATGTCAGTAGGAAGGTTCATGATCAGTGAGATTTAAACATGTACAATACCAGTTCTTGCTGGAAATGTGTGTGACAAAATAATTAAAATATCCCTTGGCATTCAAATGGGCTCAACGAGACTTTGTAACATGAGACAGCAGTGGAAAAGGAAAACACAAAGTACTGCAAGCTACTGCATTCAGGAATTCAAAAGTAAAAACTAGCATACACATAAAGTACACCAAAAAAAACCAAAGTGATAGCATGGAAGAAAACACAAAAATAGGATGTGTATTTGAAGGAAATAGCTTTCTTCCCTCACAGAGGGAAACAGGACTGTCTCAGGGACAGAGAAAGAATAACACTGCAACTCTGCATCCCCCAGCCCGGTAAGGCCAACAGCTTCAAGTGCAAACATTGGCTATAGCCTCCTGAAAAAGTCACCAAAGTGTTTAAGTGCAACACAGCAGAAGATGAATCATAGGTCTTCATAAGTCTTTCTGTCTCCAGACAAGACTCTGCTGTAAACTGATGGTATGTAGCTGCCAGTTGTTCCACCATCTACGATCAGAAGGTCCTCAGTCAAGTTGATATGCTCTCATGCCGACAGGAGGTTTAGAGGAGTGTTGTCTAGGATGTATTCGCCAACTCCAGCAAAGTACATAACCTGTGCGATGCCGAAGAGAGGCGCGATCACCAGAGCTCGACAGCCAGCACCTTTCAGTAAGGCTGAGGCTCCCTCCTTCCGCACTATTTTACTGTGGAGAACCAGAGGCAGGGCTTTATGTAAACAGGCATTCAAAACAATCAAAGTGATTTTGTAACAATCTATCGGTCTTACCTTATACAATCAGCCACTCCACTATAGGCCTCCTCAGCGGACCCTTTGTTCAGTGACTGCAGTCTAGTCTTCACCACTACAAAAAGAATGAAAGAAAAAATATGAAATGACATTAAGAAACATGTCTGTTACTAATAAACAGGGCACATCATGCAGAACATATCACACACTTAAATACTGATCATTCTCCATTGCTAACAACCATGTGTTGATGATATGGAGGAGAGCTAGCTAACGTTAGCTTTAAGAAATATCAGAATGGGGATAACAAAGAAAAGCATAGCAAGTTAAGACTTGAATAATTATAGTTGTTCAAAAGAGATGTTTTCACAGTAGTATAAAAAAGGTTAGAGTTGGAACTATGACCCGTTTAACTTCCTAACAAAAATAGAGGAATTTCACTGGTGTGGTAACACCTGATAGATTTCTGGCATCATGGCTGACATGGCTCTGAACACTCACCGTCACACGGGTTAACAACCACAGCGGCGGTGGATCCGGCCACACACCCGGACATGAAGGCCCAGTAGAACGGAGACGCAGCATCAGGACTCGGTTTGCCCAGGCGGTTCAGCTTGGCAAACAACGGGAAGTAAACAATAGAAAAGGGAACATCCCTGAAAGGAACAAAATAAATAGTTGTTTCAGACTGAAACCCTGATACCTAGTAACTGGTCTGCCTAGTTAGCATGAATAGGACTTTCACCTGATCAGGGTGGCCCCCAGGCCTTTGTAGAGCCCCTGGATGCCGTGTGTGTGGAACAGCTCCTTAGCGATCTGAGTGGCAGAAACGGCTCGCGGTGATGAGGACACGGTGCACGAGTTGAAGGAGCGGCTGAGCACCGTGTTGGTGGCCACCAGCTTGGTGGTAGACATCATGACGGGCTTCTGTTGCTGGGCCGCTTTGGACAGAAGACAAAATATGTTAATACACACACAGGCAGTATTTGAGTAAAATGCATATTCAGAGTTTCATGTATTTTTGTCTGGATATTTGTCTGTTGATGTTGGACATGGAGCTGCTGTGACGCAAGTCAAATTTCAGACTTGATCTGACAAATAAAGTAATATCGTATCCTAGATTATAATTCAGTATCAACGGTGTGCTCTTCTCACCAAGTCTGCCTGCGTCCTGTAGCTGTATCTTGAGCATCTCCATGGGGGTGGTGACAACAACCTGACACATGCCTGCTCCACACCCAGCCAGCATCTCTTTGAACATCGTCAGACCCTTTCTGTTAACACAGAGGAACACAAATCATTTAAATCCAGTGTATTGATTATTATGTGTTTAAATGATGTTCAGGGCCCAAGAGTTCAAAGCTTTTAATCTCAATCAGATCCGATCAGATTTTGAAATCCCATTTTTTGTGATCCAGGATCAGACAAGTCGGCCAGATTTTGTCCCTGGAGTTCAAAGCAATTCAGGACAGGATCACCCTGAACCAGATTACGATTTTTCAAGATGACTAGATCCTGAATATCAGCGCTTTAATCCTACTGAGCTCCATCTAGTGGACATGAAAAATAATACAAGGAAGACAAGAGACCACATTGCAGAGACATCTATTGTCCGCAATTACTTTTGAAAGGTGATGACAGATGATGGACTTTTTTTTTGTTGAAGATATTTTTTCTTTAATCTAAATTACATTTGTGATTGACAATCTTTGTTGTGATACTTTCATGAGCATAAACATTTATGTTAACATTTGGTTGAAAACAAAATAGGCCCTCACAAACGTGAGCAAAAAATGAAAAATAAAATTGATTTGCCATGAAGGCTAAAAATAGTGTATTATTTCAGTTAACAAACTTTGCCATCTTATTTATATTGAAACATATTTTTAAATCAATTGTACAGTACATGTTGCTCTGGTAATCCACTGGAAATCCACCCCTCTGGTGGGATCAGGATAATCCAGTTGTTTGGGATCAAACTGATCCCAATCCTGTGTTGTCGGTTTGAACTACCCGTTTTGAAGATTTGATCCAGATTAAAGCTTGGATTAGATTTCCTGATCTGATCGGATATCAAAGTGATCCTAATCCTGTTTTTTGGTTTTGAACTCCCCAAAATCCAAATCTGATTTGATCAGATAGGGATTCAAAGTTTTGAACTCCTGGGCCCTGATGACTGAGGTTGATGATTTTGCTTACCCATTTTTGGAGAGGTGTTGCCTGAAAAAGTCATTAGCAGCCAGCTTGATGGCCTTCTCAGGGGTGACCAGGGTCAAGTTTACGGCGGCACCTGAAATAAAAACACACACTGTTAGCATTGAAGTCACAATCAACAATTCACTCAGTTTCAAAAACATTTCCCTTCCACTATCTTTAACACCATAGGAATTTAATTAGTCCAACGTACAGAAAATCTACACACAGATAGGAAAAATGTTCAATTTGAAAGTAGCTTCAGCTATAAATCACGAGGGGTTATGTCGAAAGAAATAACATTACATGAGTTTCAAAAGGAAAAGGAGAAACGAGCAAAACACAGGACGAGAGAAGAAATGAAGAGGGTGATGAATATCCAGAGGAAGATGCAAACACTATGAAGTACACAAGTCAGTTTATGATAAAGATGACCCTCTTACAAAGAGAAAACTTTAAAGATGATAATGTGTGTTTCTATTGAAAAGACAACAAGCGAGTAAGTAGGTTAATGACGGCAACAGACAAGAGACGAGATGTTGACAGACTAAATCCTCATATGGCAATGCACTGTGTGCAGACATGAAAAGCTGATCTGTGAGACTGTGGACCATCTAGAACTTTAGTCTACCACAGAGTAGTTTTCAAAGTCAACAAGGACACACTTCATAGACAAAATGAGGATCTACAACAAGTTGACAGTGAAGAGGAAAACCAAGTAGTTATTGACAAGAAGTCCAAATATAGAACAAACAGATGGCAAAACAAAAACATGTGCCTATATTTTTAGATAGAGCAATAATGTAAGAACCATTATATGATTTGCCTCCAGCGTGGCTGCGCCTTATCGGCTAGCCTTCAATATCCCAGGGGGACCCAGGTCTGCAATATGAAAAACACAGATGCAAACAAACGGCATTCCTCACAAAAGCAGAGAACCAGACTAAAAAGCTCTCAATTCTCCTCACATTTAACTATGT